GACATAACACAGAACTTTTACAGGAAGTTTAGTCAAATTGCATGCAATATTCTTTATTTCTATAATTACGTTTTTAAATATAAAAATATCCAGTTGATTATTCGACTCACAAACTGTAATCAACCACTTTGAGGGTTTTCTAAAATGGCTTGTTTACCGAGTTGACAAAATATATTTAATTAACTTTGTATCTGAAGGGGGAATAGAAAGCGAAACTAATATTCCTTCCAACGAGAAATCAGAACATCTGAACATCAGAAGTCCATTCGAAAGATTCCAAGTCCACCTGAAGCTAAAACAATAATAATTTACTTAGTGAAAAATACGATTTGAGTTTGATGCTAAGCTTGAATTCAAGCTGCTCAAAAGGAAGAAACGATTATTTATCGGAATCAATAAATATAAAAAATAATGCAAAATTCAGTCCCTTTATTTGAAAAAATCTGTATATTTTTCAAAAATCTGTAATCTGTATATACAGATATCTGTATCAAAATATTGAAAAAAATCTGTATGATTACAGATAAATCTGTATATGTGGCATCACTTCGACTTATTACCATTTCCACTACCTACTTCTCTCCCTTCCGCTCTCAGAATTCGCCGATTCGGTGCCTCTCGTTGTGCTTTCTGCTGAGACTGAGCAATATTCGATACCGCGAAACATCTCCGCAGTTATGTTTTCTTTCGGCGCAGGAGATGTGCGGTAATCGAAAGTTAAGAATGTAGCTCAACATTTACAATAACGTTCTACCAAATTTTCATGTGCGTAGTCCACTGTAACAGCTGAACGTACGAACGAATAGGGTGACCATAGCGCATTTTAAGAAAATGTCACAAGTTTTTATGGCTGTTTTAAATCATTAATTACGAAGAAACCATACAGCCTACATGGTTACTACCAAAGGCACAAATCTAGGGAACTGCATGGAAAATGTTTTGTAGAACAACTAAATAAACAGAAATGAAAATTTTCAACTTAAAAACACTCAAATGTATGAAATTTCAACAGTTTTTTGGGTACTTTCAACATACTTTTCAATTTTAATGTATGATAATTAACTTTAATCGAGTTCATTTTCAAAGAGCAATGATAGCTAAGACTTTAATCTTTCATTTGGTAGGTTGAAATCGGAAAACCACATTAAGATTAAAAAAATATAGCTAAAGGGTGATACGGTCAAAATTTGGTCAAGGGAAAACGCGTGTAAATCGGTGAAATCGTTTATTTAAAAAATCAAATTAAATTTCTTTTTCAAGTTCAATTAGTATAAAATTCAGGAAAAATATTCAGTTAGGCTTCCGCTTTTCCAAATCCGAATTGCCGGGCCTTACGCTTGACCCCTGCCATCAGATTTTGTACAGCCACCTTGTCCACCTTCTTCGCCGCAGAAAGCCAGTTTGCCTTGAACTGCTGCTCGCCCTTAGCAGTTTTTTTGGTCTTCTTTAGGTTCCGCTTGACAATAGCCCAGTATTTCTCAATTGGGCGCAGCTCTGGCGTGTTGGGAGGGTTCTTGTCCTTGGGAACCACCTGCACGTTGCTGGCGGCGTACCACTCCATGGCCTTTTTACCGTAATGGCAAGATGCCAAATCCGGCCAAAACAGTACGGAACAACCGTGTTTCTTCAGGAAAGGCAGCAGACGTTTATTCAAACACTCTTTCACGTAAATTTCTTGGTTGACAGTCCCGGAAGCTATGAAAATGCTGCTTTTCAAGCCACAGGTACAGATGGCTTGCCAAACCAGATATTTCTTTGCGAACTTTGACAGTTTCATGTGCTTGAAAACATCTGCTACCTTTCCCTTTCCTTTTGCCGTATAAAACTCCTGTCCCGGAAGCTGCTTGTAGTCGGCTTTGACGTAGGTTTCGTCGTCCATTACCACGCAGTCAAACTTCGTCAGCATCGTCGTGTACAGCCTCCGGGATCGCGCTTTGGCCGTCGTATTTTGTTTATCATCGCGATTTGGAGTCACTACCTTCTTGTAAGTCGATAGTCCGGCTCGTTTTTTGGCTCGATGCACGGTTGTAGACGATACACCCAGCTTATTTGCGGCATCTCGGAGAGAGAGGTTAGGGTTTCGCTTGAAACTACCGGCAACTCTCTTTGTCGTCTCAGCGGCTTCCGGTTTTCGATTTCCCCCCGATCCAGACTTCCTGGCTGTCGACAAACGTTCCCCAAACACTTTAATTACATTTGTAACGGTTGATTTGGCAACTTTTAGCGATTTTGCCAACTTTGCGTGCGAGTAGCTCGGATTTTCGCGATGCGCGAGCAAAATTTTGATACGCTGCTCTTCTTGCTTGGACGGCATTTTGACAACTGAAAAGTGAATTCCAAAATCAAAATAGGAGCAACATTCTACACACACACACCTTCAAAATGAGGGGTGTTCAGGTTTTTAAATGCAAAATTGAAAGAAATACGTCAAGTTGATATTGACCAAATTTTGACCGTATAACCCTTTAACCAAAGTTGGCAATACAAAAAAACATAAAATAAATTCACTGGAAGGATAAAAAAAAAGTGATTCAAGAAGATTCCCAAGATTCTGGGGCTTTAAAATTTGTGTAGAGTCTGAAACTACACAATTTTTTCAACATGTGTGATTAATAACAATCTTTGTGATGCAATATTTGGAAAAAAAAAATAACTAAAATGTGAGATTTAAAAAAAAATTCAAGATCACAGATTTGTAAAAACAATCATATTTGGTGTCAGTGTTCGCAAAATCATTCTCAAATCTCATTCATTGAGCCTCCTTGCGAGAGTAAGCTCGCGTGCGAATGCGGCAAACAAAATTCACGCTTGAGATTCTCCTGCATATTCACGCACTCACACTCACAATGCCGAAAAATCATTCCAGCTTTAAGCTCATAAAATCCTCTCAAAAGTCAATTGATAGCAGGCTTATGCATGTTGTGTTAGTTTTCCAACCCCTGATGCATAAACAATAGTAATAACAATTATAAGCGCCAACATATACAGAAATGAATTTTTGAACCTGAAAACTCATCAGCGATTTTTGCGACGTTAAATTTTGGAAGGCAAAACTCAAAGGCATGAGATTTGAGTTTTTGAATTTTTCCGAACACTGCTTGGTGTCATAGTTATCACGCTCTGAGACTTATAAGGGTTATAACAAATTACAGAACAATCTATAGAATCTAGCGGACATACCCTGGAATTATTAGTCAAAATTACAAGAATTTAAAGTGTTGATTTCAAACAAATATTGAGAATTTTCGAAGGATAAGTTCTGAGCAGAATTCCAGAACTATTCTGACATGAAATCCTTTGAAATTGTTAGATGAATTAAATTGTAAGGTAATTTTTGAAGATTTAAAAAGGAGCTATGAAAAACAATATATTGCGGAAAATTCCTACGTGATTCTGAGGAGATTTGTATGGGAATCATATGGAAAATGACAGATGAATTTTAAGAAGAATTCCAAGAGAATTATGATCAGCATTCAACAAGAAACAAAGTTCTAAGAGTGATCTGGCAATAATTTCAACCCTAGTACAAAAGATTAATCACAGAACACCTACAAAATTGATTGCAAAAAATTTGCTGATAATTAGAAAGAAATTCTTTAAAATACTCCAAGGGGTTTCTAAATAAAATTGCGAAAGATGTCTGCTGTTTTGAAAAGAGTTAAAAGAGATGTTTGAAAAGATTTTCAAAGGAATCAAAGTCTCCGGATAGGCTCAAGGGAATTCTAAGAAGGATTCCAATTAAGTTTTTAGAAGGGGTTGCAAGGAAATTCCAAAAAGACTTCAACGGTAATTATTACGCGGAGTGTTTTCTGGGAAACGTAGAATTCAACTGAATTACTATAATACGGTAATACGATTATTTGTATGTATCGACGGTGTACTAAATTTCATACAGTAGATTTCATTGTTCCGTAAAGCTTCCCATACTGAATTGTCGGGATCATAGTTCAGATGGTGCAGAGCATACTGATTTGTAAATAGATGGGTAGGAATATGGCAGGAATTGTAAAATTTTTACTCCTTTCAGCTTTGAAGCTCTCATTGACAAACGCTTTCAAACCTCAGTATTTTCTTTACAACTTGAACCGACAGACAGCATCACGTAGAAATATTTCTGATCGAATGGTGATAAAATTATTGAAATTGGTCCAGAGGCAGCTGAGTTATTAATGTTCAAAATCTTTCATATTTTTGTTACAAGTTCCATTTTTGGTTTTCACAAAGTGAACCCCATATAGAAATCACAGACGTAGTCCTACGTAAAAAAAAGCACATGAAAATACTTACTTTTTGAATGTATAAAATTATGGACACTTGGAAATTTCTACAAAAATTACATTGCCCATAACAAACGTTTACACAAATTTACAATTTCATACAAATCGAAGAAGGTCGCTTCAAAAATTCAATTTGTTTTGTGCTAATTTGCCTGAAGCTGCCACCTTTAGTAATGTGGTGATATCACATGTTGTGATAGATGAATTTGAATCTATTATGTGATGAATGGGTGTTGGTCCTAACCAGAAACTGATAACTTCCCCAAGGGCACCCAGAAACATGTCCGGGTGTGAGCAAGTGAGTTTTATTTTGATTTAGTTAGGATAATTTTCAGTAGGGAGCGAAAGCAGAGCAAAGGAAAGACGCCAGTAGACCTCCGTGGTAATAAATTCACCTGTAAAGGAAAATATGAGGATCATTAAAGACCCATGACGCATGTGATATTATGCAACTGAAATAAATAAAGCAGATAATATTTGTTTGCATTACTCTCCTCAACATTTACTATCATCCAGCATCTGATCCTGTCTATCTTCTATCGACAAAATAATTTAAACTTCTTTGTTCAAACTTAACCGCTAACTTTAGTACAACCAGTTTCAAAAAAAGAAACCTAACATAACTATTTACGTAGTACAACTTAACACTGGCACGGAATGAAGGAAGGAAAAGGAATACCCGGTCGGAAAACTCCAAACCAGTCTCCACAAAACTCTAGCAAAAGCCTCATAATTGTTGTCACTAACTGTCTCATTGAAACGATATGTACAGAACTTCCTTAAAGCGAAAACACCACTACTGGCAACTACTGACTAAGAATCACTCGTCTGCGGCCATCGGCACCGGGGTGCGCCTCCCTCTACTGCAGCAAATCGTACAGAGCCGTGATGTACTGCTGCGCCATCTGCAGGGTTTCGTGCTTGGACAGTTGCCGATCGTTGCCCAAACTGGGCAGCCACGTCCGCAGCCGATCGAAGGCATCGTTGAGACTCTGCATCCGTTTGCGTTCGCGTGCATTCGCCGCGAGGCGGCGCTTCTTCTTGATCTGCGGTGCGACTGGTTTGCGTTTCCTCTTTCCAGTCACCGGTGCAGCAGAATCGGATGGCACCTTGGAAAAAATCAAGCTATTGCAGGAGAGGCCGGAAGTTGGCGTCGCTTGGGTGACCATTCCCAGTGGTTCCGATTTGACCTTCAATGTGCGCCGGTATTGGCGTTTTTTGACCGGAAGTGTTGGTGTGTTGGTTGTGGTTGCGAGGGCCGTTGAAGGTAGGATTGGTGGTGATAGAGGAAGCACAGTTTGCTGAGTGGCTTGTTTGAGTAGGTTTTCTTTGCATTCTTCAACATCGATAAAAGCCGGAGAACTTATCGAGTAGTAGTCGGGGCTTTCCGAACCGAAACTGGACGGTGAAGGTGTCATCCAGGATTCGGGATAGCTGATGGTTTGAGATTCATAGTTCGGAAGCATCATCATGTTGGAGATGTTCATTCCTTGACTGTTGATTGCTGGGAAACATCCGTAGTAATCTTCGGTGCTTATGTGTTGCTCGATCTGCTCCATTTTCACGTTCACGTTGACCGCTTCCTGGCCGTAGTAGTACTGGTACTGGTGACGATTAAAGTCCGTTGTCATGGTGATTCACTTGAGATCACTTTCAATCACTGGCACAAATTGGAGAACTCTGACTCACTTCAAAACTAAAGACAGAACCTGTTCAGAAAGTTACGTTTCGAAACTAAACCAGAACCTGAGCCAACGGGTAGTATTTATACCGTTCTCGGGATCAGCGTTTTGTTTTTACCCCCACTACTGCAGCGCAACCCACAAAGATCACGATCGCAGCCTCATGGTGAGAGAAGTTTTCTCTCATTTGCCATTTCTCCAGGAACAAAGCGAAAAATGAAACAATGAAGAGCTGAACACATCCCGCACAAGAGAAGAGAAACGAAGAGAGGGAGAGAGAGAGAGCGAATGCCACGAAGGGGAAGAACAGTAGGCCACGTGCCATTCGACCAATCAGAGGAAAGCTCACGGCCTGTTCTACATAAAAATCGAAATGACAGCAGCTGTACATAACGCGAGAACGGAGCATAGGCACTGGATCTGTTCGGAAACGAAGTTAGTGGAAGGACCAAGTATAGGAAGAAAGGAAGGATACAACAATCCTTTACCACTGGAAAATTGGTGTAAAAAAATAAAACAGAAAATGCAACGAAAAAATGCTGGAGCCTTCACACCGAACCCATATAGAGGTAAAAATGAAGGGAAGTAGGCTTAATCGATACGCTCACTCACTCACAAAGCGGACAAATTGGAACACTTGTTCGGTTCGGGGAAGGGAGGTATAAAAACAATTTTTTATGTGATTCGGATCGTACGGAAAAAAAAAACTATTTCCGATGGAAGGTTTTATTCTATTTTTTGCTACCTTATTTATATGTATTGAGATTGTTGCCACTTCCGAGCGTTCTTCTCTTTTACAACCCATGGATGTTACGCAACACATGACGCTGTACATCATTTTCGAATATTTTTTTAATCCAACCTCAAAATCTTCATTCCGAAGGTATTCGAAATTTATTAAAATTAGACTAATTTTTAGCAACTTACTTTTTTTTTATATGTTTCAATAAGCTTGAGAAAAAACGTAACATAATAACTACGGCAGCAGTTGACTTTTTGTGCCTATATCCAGGGACCCACAGGAGTCACCATCTGGCACGCGCATCCACCGTCTGCCCGTCCTGATGATGCGCTTAGTTGGTTCAGAAATATGTATATAGATTGTTTTTTTTTGTGCTCTGGTGGTTGGGTGATGATGTCTCGCAAAGATGAAAGATGAAACACGTGTTAGTTCAAACATCAACAGTGGCAGGCAGGCAGAGATCCGTGCTATAATTCAGTAGTTCTAATTTGTAAAGGTTTCGGGCAGAAATCGGTCATGTGTGTTTGCACGTAGTGGTTTGCAGGATGTAAACTGCACTATTAAATGCCCCACCGGCCTCGGCTGGGATTGGACCTAGACCCATTGGGGTGGGAAAACAGTCACGCTTACCACTACACCACCGGCACCGGCACTTTTGAAAAATAATTGGCGTCTTGCAGTGAAACTTTTCCAAGCTTTCGCCACCTACATTTCGAAGTGAGAACTACTAGAAGGAGGATAGATTCCAAATTTTCCAAGTAAAACAGACGCTTTTTGGGGCAAATCCGTCCATAAAGAAAAACTAATAATTTCCCGTGGAAACTTTTGCTTGAATCGTGTAAGAAAACGTGTTTGAAAACTATTTGTTATTATTCCGGTATGGATCGGAGATGTTTTCATGGCAAATTATGCATAACAAGTTTGCACCCACAGGGAGAGGTTACCTCCTGCGCAGCTGCATTTTTCAGAAAATGGTTAATATGTGCGATTTTTAGTAAGATGAATGTGGAAATTAAGTGAATTTACTTAGGAAAGGTTGTATCATGCTGGTGGTAATAGAGAATTGGTTGTATGGGACGCCAAAATTTAATAAATGCTTATTTTGGCCTTTTTTAAGCAAACATATTGATACTCACAATTTTTGACGAAAAACGCACCGGAGCTTGATTTACTCAACACGCACCATACTATAAAATGGTGCTAGATGGTCTTCAAAGTGATAACAAGATGACAAATCATCTTTATTTTGAGTAATTGAGCAATTTACTTCTGTTTACCATCATATTTACGATGCAGCATTGATGGAGCCGTGAAATGAAATGAATATATCTTATGAAAGTTGACCTGGAAAAGTCAAAGCTGCACATCAGTCTGATCGTAAAAACGTTTTCTTCTTCAATTCGAATGTTATATTGGAAGGATTTTACGCAGGCTTGATGAAAATTATGATTTAATGCTAATTTTCACGAATTTTATATGCAGTCTGTCAACATTATCATCATCATGCAGTGGCGACATCTGCGTTGAGCTTTTGCGGCAATCTTCCAATAGGCTACGACATTTTTCCTATTTGCTTGCGACCGCCCCACAGTGGGACGAAATCAAGAAAAAGAGACATGGCCATTTTCGACGAAACTATTGAGTGTAGCATGTTGATGTCTGAATGTTTCTTCAATTTTAAATACTTTACTGCAGTGGTGATTTTTTTTTGCCTAAGGGGGGTATACACTAAGATAAAAAAAAAAACTTTTTTATGTCTTGTTGAAATTGATGATCATCTATGGAAACATTGAACATAAAGTCATTTTAAGGAACTTTGTCCAAGAAGTCAATTTAACATCTCTCACGTGGACGAAGTTGTAGGGCGAAAATGAAGTACAATCCGTAGTACCCCTTTAAAACCCGTTTTTTTTAACCATAACTGTTTCGTTTGAATTTTACATTTTTTTTTTCAAGGGGGTATATCTTTCATGTAACAGGTATTAGCAGGAAATCTCAACGTTATTTTGTTCAGCATTTCTAGTCTACTGTTACTTATACAATTCTTAGGGGGATCCAAGGGGATGCATCATGAATTTTCTAATAAGTACCTGTATGTTTTGTTACGTTTTGCTGTTTCCATAACCATTTTTTCAAGTGTTTACATTAGAGTGTGTTTCCCACTGCTCTTTCAATGCTTATAATCTCGATATGCGGGAGAATTTTAAATTTTGTATGGGAAACGGAACGATCCTATAAATTGGCTTTCCAAAAATCCAAATATTGCTCAAGTTTCACCAAAACTATACTATGCCAAACAACTTTGTCGAAGCTGCAAGCCGCTCTAATGTACATACCTGGAAAAATGGTCATGAACAGCAAAACGTAGCAAAACATTGAGGTATTATATTAGACATCCCCTTGGATCCCCCTATGAATTGTATTTGTAAGAGTAGGGTATAAGTTGCTGAACGAAATTACGTCGAGTTTAGCTGCTACAACTTTGTAGAACATTGAAAAAATTTAAAAATTCAAACTAAAAAGTTATGGTGAGAAAAGGTTTTTAAGGGGGTACTAGCAACAATCAATACGAAACTAACGATTTTAAATTGGCTCACCACTTTAGTAGCCTATTGGTCCCAAGCAAACGATTAACGTACACCATTCTAGTCGAAATTCTAGTACTACGCAATGTTTGTTTTGATTCGCTATGAAAGTTTGACAGATAAAATGAGGGGTTATTGGTTTTTCCTATGTTTCGAGGGGTGATTCGACAAGCTTGGGACCGAAGATAGTACCAGAGGTGAGCCAAAAAGTTGAGCACGTTTCTTCGGGACCTACTTGTCTTAGAGTTACCTCTATGGTACTAGCGTTGGTACTCCGTTTTCACCCTATAACCAACAATCAATACGAAACTAACGATTTTAAATTGGCTAACTACTTGACTAGCCTATTGGTCCCAACGCAAACGATTAACGTACCCAGGGCTGATAGCACCAAATATATCCAAAAATAGTGATTTTAGTGACTAAAATGAGTAAAAAAGGGACCATTAAGTGACTAAAATGAGTAAAAAAGTGACCATTAAGTGACTTTTAAGGGACAAAAAGTGACCAAAAAAGGAGACCCAAGTAGAACTTATTGAGCTCCAATTTAAAAATGTATAAGAAGATTTTAAGCATTTTGTCAATAATAGTAGTATTTGTTCTTGTATGATCGGTATCTGTTGTAAACAGACATGAGTGATTGATTTTTACACTAGCCTGCTGCTGGATACTCTTTCATTTTGTTCAATTTTCAAGATAAATCCTTTTTTCAGTAAACCTGTTCCAATTCATAATTGTTGCCCAAAATGTGTGTTACATTTTAAATATTATGCTATGAAAATTCATTATAATTATCGTTAATAAAAACAATCGCTATTGTATGGTTTTTTGCGTGTTTTATAATACAACAACCTATATAATCCGTCTTCATCTGCAGGAAAACACATCTAAATTTCAGCTGTTCGATGGAACACAACGTACCAAGAAGACTGGCAATTCTACTAGCTTTCATGCGCATCCATATAGTATTTCATTTGAACAAATTCCCCTAAAGCTTTGAGCGTTGAATGGCGAGACTGTGACCCTTGGTTGGTATTGTATACAAGCACTTATATGTTGTCAGTTTTCTTACAGACAGGGCTGCACATCAGTCCCATATGAGTTTTTGTCAGCTTTGAGTTCGCAATACTATTCGTTATCTAATGGCATATCCTAATGCATTACGCCTCTTATTAAATTTGACCGCGTTTAGTGCACTATTGGTATTATTGTAATTGGTCAGAAAACTGGAGCGATTATCCGGTAAAATCCATTTCCTTTCACAATTCTTCAGTATCTATTTTATGAAAAATATTGATTAAATCAAACGGAAAATTACCAATTACGGAAGCACAGCAAAATCTAACATATAGTCAGATGTTCCAAATTAAAACCCTAAAGCTTTCAGCATCCCATAGTGAACCACTTGTTTTAATTAACATTTTTTGCAAAAAAAAATGTAAAATGAATGTCTATTTCTGGGTTGAATTTAATGTGATTCAACCTTATCTTGTGCTTCTGTGCCGAGATTAGATTCTTTGATTAGTATGAATTTCTCCTTGTTTTCCAGTAAAAGTTTGTTATCATCCATCATCAGAACGTAAACAATCCTTCAGCGAACACTGAGTGGTCCACAAAAACGTAATGATGACTTCAACTTTGAATGCAGATTGCATGGAACCAATATATTTGACTAGTTAAAGTATCAGGT